CACAGTTCTTGTCAAGGAATCCACCTCGGTCCTCTTCACCTTAGTGTTGATGTAGATGTATCCCAAATCCCTGTGTTTGAATTGCATATCTTTCTGTATTTAAAGCATTCATTAGAAAACACTTTGGACATCTGGCCATGTCCAGAAGCACAGTCCAGACCCTCATCCAGCTTGGGAGAGATAGCCTGGCATGTTCTTTCATTATCCCAGAATGCCGGCCAGATGCTGGGGTGCAGACAGCTATGGGCCCCAGGGAGAGAGAACCTCTCTGCCCGAGGCAGCTGGGGCAGGCATCCATTATGCTCAGCCCACCTCCCAGACCTAGGGGGATGCTCGGAGCTTGGAGACAGGCCAGAGGCCTGCAGTCCATAGGAATAAACATTTGATAAGCAATCCAAAGGGGGCATGTGGAGGGAATCTGGGCTTCCTAACCTGAATAACAGCCTTTCAATATCAAAAAGGGCCCAGTCCCTGTCAGAGGCAGTGAGGACACTGGGATCACAACACAGGACAAGAGATGCCCACTAGGGAGGTGGAGGTGTCCTGCGTGCAGATTTCTAAAGAGATCCTGGTCTGTCTGATTAGAAATTCATGTCCCTCCCCAAAGTCAAAGAGGGCCAGAGATGCTCAGAATGCTAAACACACCTCAGGAAGAAGGTGAGGTTTCAGTGAGACACTTGGGCCACTTGTGATGTGTGAGTGCTCCAGAGTGTGTGGATGGGTGTGACACTGAGTGTGTATGTGGATGTAGCAGAGGGTGTGGCCTTCATCTCCTTCATTCCAAGGAAAATTAGTCCAAAGATTTCTTGGGAACATTTCTCGAAGGAGAGCTGCACTTCACTGTAGAGATACATCCTAGCTGCTCCTATTCACTCATTCATTCATTTTTATTTTTCAGTATTGAAGATTGAACCCAGGGACTTTGCACTGAGCTACATCCCCTTGCCCCGCCTTTTAAGTTTTTCGGACAAGGTCTCACTAAGTCACTAAGTTGCCCAGGCTGGGCTCAAATATGAGATCCTCCTGCCTCAGTCTCCCCGAGTGTTGGCATGATAGACATTCATCACCATGCCGGGAACCCTAGCTTCTCCATTCCTGAAGTAAGCAGGGTTTTGTGGGTCAGAGCATCAGCTGCTGCTTCTCCTACTGCAACAGCAGTAAGACATTGGCACAGTCCCCTACAGGCCACTTCCTAACCAAAGCTGGAGGAATCACACAAACGCCCTCTGCTCTCTGATCTCCCATGTGTCTTTTTTTTTTATTTTTTGGTACCAGGGATCGAACTTGGGTCCTTCCGCTTATGCAGCAGGCAGTGAAACCACTGAGCTAAATCCCCCACCTCGCATGTGTCTATCTTAACACACAGCTTCCTCCTCTGTTACAGAGGGAAAGAGGAAGTGACATGTGCTCTGAATTCATGGCTTTCATACAGTTTTCCTTTCACAAATAAAATATTAACTCTCTAATGACAGGCACAGAAATTTGGTTTGATTTCCATTAGGACAAATTAGGACAGAAGATTTTCATTAGGACAAATTTAAAAATCATGGTTGCGTTCCAAATAAAATCCCATGACAATGACCCTACCCGTCCGGCCTATGTCTAGTCAGTTCACTTAAGAGTAAATTAAGAAAGAATAGAGTAGAAGTTTCATTTCTGCATTTCAGAATAATAAGAGTTGTGGAACTCACTCCAACTGCTTGGAAACTCATATTTCTTCCCGCAGCTTTACATTTTCTCTAACATACCTTGAGGTTCCAGTCAGTAAGAGTATATATTTCTATAGGTCATATGCTTGTTGTAGTTACCTGATGGTTAAAGATTGCAAAGTCAAGCAAAGATTACCTTCCTCTCTGCTGTTGTTGTTGTGGTGGTGGTGGTGGTTGTTGTTTTATACAGACTCTGATGATGATCAGTGACTATTGGCTTTAGACTCCAGCTTGGTGACGGTCGGGCACTTTTGGCCACCACCAGCTATCTCTGCTGGGAATGTCTAGCCCTTCTCTTCACTTTCCTACGGGCATATTCCTCAGTGGACAAGCACCCCTACAAGGGTTTGAGCAGCTGGTGATGACTTTGCTTTGTTTTAAATAGATCACATTTTTTTTCAGCGATTTCCTAATAAGAAATCTATGTATCTCTTATTAGGAGTTGTGAAATAAATCAGATATACAACATCAAATGCTACCTCTTAAACATCATATGACTTCTCTTATATGAGAAATCCAAAGTATAAATACATTAAAGAGAAAAATAAAAGATCAATAATTGGAAAGGGAGATAGAGCTTGAGCAATGGGAAGGAGACAAAGAGATGAAGGAGTGGAGAGGGAAAGAAGAGGAAGAGGATGTAAAATGAATGAAGATGTGTTACACTCTCCACGATGAAGGCAGTCATTACATACTATAAATATGTACTGATAAAACAGTAAGGATTAAAAAAAAGAATTCAGGGCTTTAACAACTGCTTGGGATCCTTACTTTGGAACAACTTTTCTAAGTCAGCAGGGTAATTGCCTGGTAGTGCTTTGTGCTCCATCTTAGATGGCACTGAGTGTCCATTCTTAAATTCAACTGATCTAAAGACCCTTCAACACTACAGTGTTGGCAGTGTCATTCTGGTTATCACTTGGAGACAGCTCAGTCACCACTTAGCTGAGGGCACAGAAATTACATAAAAAGAGCTTCAGTGAGTATTTTTTTTTTTTTACTTTAGTTGTCTATTAAGTCACCTTTAAGAAGGCTCCATCAGGGCTCTGCTTACCATTCCATCTCCAGCAAACAGGAGAAAATCTCACTACAACTGGTCAGAAGCCAGAGAGAACCCGAAGGCAGATTCTCACTCAGTCCTGAGAGCCTCTGATGAGCTGAACATGTACTAGAGTTTCTACCACTGGGTAAAGAGATTGACAGCACATAAAAGATGTGAGGGCTTTTCTCACATCACTGTATTCTCAAGAGTGAAAAACATCCCACCGGGTGAGCAGAGCTGTACTGTGAAGGTATAAAGAACAAACTTTGTCTCTGTTCTGGAATTTTCCCCTAGAAACCTGTTTTCTTTGAGAATTGAAGGTTTTTCGGTGCATTAGTTAAAGCTAATTAGGAAAATGCAAGACAAAAAAAGCTAATACTTAAAGCTAATTAGGAAAAACCAAAACACCACTCCTAGGGCAGTAGTGGCAAACCTATGGCACATGTGTCATTTGGTTTTCTTTTAAGACAAAAGATGTTAATGTATGAGTTGTTTTTCTAAACTAAAACCTCAGTATCCAGATTTAATTTCAGTGTTGGAACTTGGTGGGTTTTGGATTGCAGTTTGGGCACTAAAATGTTTGCCACCCCTGTCCTAGGGTAATATTATGGCAAAGATTATGTCCAGTACTTGGAAAATTCATCATATTAATGTAATTCTCTACCAATTAGCTAAAATTTACTCCTTTTTGTGTCCAGTGTTTTTAAATTTTACATACTGTTAAATACAACATATTTGAAATGTCTTTAATCAACCTAAGGTAGCAGTTTCTCTTAGTGAGGCTGTATTGCTGTTTTCAGTGTCTTCTTGTTTCTACTTCTTTTATATCTAAAAGGTCCTTAAGATGGCTACATTTAGTTATAAAGGCATTTAAATGTTGAAATTAAGACACAGGAAACTCTCAATGACAATTGAGTCATCCTTGAGAGAAGCTATTATGTTTGTAGATATCACACATATTCATAAATCAAATACTGTGCATACCAAACCCAGTAAAAAACACTAAGTGCACAATGTCTCTCATTATAAAAATGCAATTATTCTGCTAGTTATGTTTTTAAAATAGCCTGACATTTAAAATAATTGATGAGTATGTAATTTGCTAATCAGTAATGGGCAGTTCCTGTAGAGGTACCATCATTAGCTTTATAATTTGCTGCTCCAGAAGTTATATGAATGCAAGATTAAAGCTGGGAAACAGAGAGAAGCCACTTCAAGATGACATTATCCTATTTAACACCCATAATACTTAACAGCGACAATAATTAAGCCTCACAGATTAAGTCAACATGTTGAATTCCTATTGGGTGAGTTACAGATAAAACATTCATGTGCAGTGGCTTTCCTCATAGTAAATTTCCCATTCATAATCATGCACCCAAATGAACAACAGAGAAACATACTTTACTGGGAAGGATTAAATAATGTTTTAGCTTATGCCTTTATTTCTTGTCTCTTTCCTCCAAGTGATAATAGAGATCTCATTTACCATGCACGAACACTTACATTCCCTCTTTGAGAACATTCTGCTATTGTTGGTATGAGAGACAAAAGTCATTTATTTATAGATTGCCTTATTAATCTACAGCTTTTGGTAAATATCTAGATTATCTGGTCAGCTTGTCTGCATGGCCTAAGAAGAAAGACTAGCTGCCATCTTCAATTCAAATGAGTGGTATATGAATATTTATAAGGACATCAATATTCACAGAGTCTTACAATCATGCTCCAAGCTAAATAAAAATAAAAGTAAATGGCCATAAATATTACAGTATAATAGGATAAGAGCTAAAAGGTATATACAGACTGATTGACAATATCTGTGAAAAGTATTGTGGACAAAACACTTCAAAAGAAATTTACATAAAACAAAGTAGATAAATTTATCAAATGTTGATAAATTTTCAGACAGTATAAAAGTACACAAAACATGGAAAAGAGAAAGAATTTTTTAAAATAATCACTATGCCAATACATATAGTACATGTTTACTACATTTATATTACAGAATGATGAAAATCAGAGACAAGAACAATTTGGTAACAAACAGCAAAGAAAGTTTCACCAGTCACAAGGAAGAAAGACATTGCTTTGGGATGAAAACAGAACGCATCCCCACCCATACACACAGAGGGAAAGAAAAGGAATGCAGAGAGTCGTCTACAGCAGCACAGGACAGACAGAGGTGGGGAGCATTTGGCATGTTGCACCACAGGAAGTCAATCACGATTGGCTAACGATGAAGGTACCTGGCTCTGTTGCAGGTCACTGGCTTGCCTGAGAGGAGTAACTGATGCAGGCGGCACACCTGATGTAGATGCAGACCGGCCTAATTTGCAGCTTACTTTAGGTTCTGTGAAGAAGGAGGAAAGACAAAACATTAACTGAACAACATCTGCGGTGATGAAATGGCTTCCGGTCTCCCTTTCTGTTTTCCTGTGTGTTCTGGGAATATGCAAAGTGCTTCTGGTGTTTGTTAATAAATGACAGGTGATTAAACACTTCCACAACAATTGGCTCTAAAAGGAGCTTTATTTACAGATCACCTCCTGGGGAATGAAGAGGAAATCTCCGTAAGCTTACCCATTGTTCCCTTGCACATTTTACCCCATTTAGGGTTAAATTCTATGAAGTGATTATTGGTTTTGATCCCTCATTTTCAGCTTTGGTCCACAGGACTCTTACATTCTAAAATGTCTTATCCATTCCAAATCCATCTCTCCTTCTTTCCTTCTTTCCTTCCTTCCTTCCCTACTTCTTTCCTGGACCACTCTCAATATAACATTTTTTCAATGTTACCACCCTATCTCTATTTACTTTAAATTTTATAATTATCTTCTAAGACCTTTGCAATCTTTCAGGGGTTTATTTCATACCTATTATATTCCACAAGCTTGACACAAAGTTGTGACCAAAATCTCCCGCTCACCTTGGGAGAGCTCATAGCTTATCCAGGAGCACAGATATTAAACAACAAATGATGCACATCATTATGGAACTGCAGATGTGAGGAGCTTTCTTGGAGAATTTATAGGGTGACATGACAATGTTTGTTGCAGGAATTCCAATGGATTAAATTTTTATTCCTTCAACAAACACTTCCCAAATGCCTACTATATGCACACTGAGCAAGGTGCTAAGCTTACAGGGGTTAGGAAGACACTGATTATCCACATATTAATGAAGTTTATATTTTCTTAGCAAAGACAGACATTAAATCTCAAACCATTGGCTGGAAAATAGAAAGAAATATAAGGCATCATGGTATCATGTATCAAGAGCATCTTCTGTGTTCTGCTGCACCTGGGAAAGAGGCTAACAGAGTGGATGGTAATATCTGAAGTGGGCAGGATTCTGGATCCATAGATTTATTTTTTTAAATTATTTTTGGTGTTGTTGTTATTGTATTTTTTATTTTTAAAGAGATGAATCATGCTGAACAGATATTTTAAATGGAATTATTTATGTGCAATGATATTTGTGTTTCTGGAGTTTGAGAGTGTTTCCAAGCCAAGTAACTCTTGAGTTTTAATACCATTAAATTAGTGTCATATTTTATAGCAGTGATGGTGAACCTTTTAGAGCTCTCAGCGATACACTTCAGCACGTGTGCCACGAGTTCACCACCACTGTTCTGTGGGGAACTGTAAAAGCTGGACATTTGATTTATATTGTCCCTGTAAGTCCAAATGACTGAGTGGTTATAGAATGACCTTTAGTAACTCTATATAAGCTCACGTTTTACTTTATGGATTTATTTTGTGTAGTAAAAACAAAAAGGATGGAGGCTAGTTCTGCTTATGCTACAAAAGAGCTGCTTGATATGGGATAATCACTTCATTTCTTTGGACCTGTTTTTCCTGTATGTGAATGCATATGTTTGTTTAGAGCAGTGATTTTCGAACTCTAAGGAGATTAACAATCCTTTAGGGAGCTTGCTAGAATGGGGTTGCCTGGGTTCTGATCTAGTAGGCTTGATCACACTCTTAACTATTAGCATCTGAGTCTATCTAGCCAGCTCCCTCTCAAGGGGGGATAGACCCTTGCTAGTCCAGGGCCAACCCTCCCTTGTGGTCTGCATTCATATACTCATTCCCCATTTCCTACTCAAGGGAAAGGATCCAGAAAATAATCCTTTGACTCTCATACATATTATCATTTCCATCTCTTTGTAGATTGGAATTAAAAGCACACAAATATAGTCTTATTTCTTCTATCTCAAAACTGCCCCTCTGGATTTTACTTTTCCCTCTACTTACTAAGCTATTTATTTCCTTTCCTTCATTACAGTAACACTTCACAGTAGCTCCAGATATTTTACCTCTGGTCATTTTCATTATTGCCTACCTTGAGGAGGACTGCATTAGAAGTAACATTATTTCAGTCATACAATGTTAAGAATAGCTAACATTGACTGAGTGCTTGTTATAGTGCATTTCCTTAGTGCCTTTACCCCGTTAATCCCTTTAATTCTAGCAAGTCAGTAGTTCCCTTTGGTCTTTCCCTCTAATTAAGCCTTATGTTAAAATTTTACTCTTCAAGATGAACCGTAAAATAAGAGCTCATTAAAGTTGAGAATGAGATTGTGCTAAGCTGATAATTTTACCTTGAGGACAGTGGTAAACTAGGTTCTTATTGATATCTTTATGTTATGTGAAGTCTCTCTCTTTCAGATTTTATTTTTTAGAGTTTAGTTTTACTTGAACAGCAAAATTGGATCACAAGTTTAGAGAGCTCTCATATACACCCTGATGCTGCTGGATCTTATGGCACTAGTACACATGTTTCTTTTTGTCAGATGCTGCTGAACTGTTTTTCCAAGTGGCTTTGCCTTTTGGCATTTCCATCACAATGAGAGTTCTTACTGCTTCACATCTTTATCAGTATTTAATATGGCCAGAGTTTTGGGATTTTGATTATTCTGATAGGTATATAGTAGTACCTCATAGTTGTTTTAATTTGAAATTTCTTATTGGCATTTAATATCGAACATCTTTTCATATTGTTACTAATCTTCTCTTTCTTCTTTTGATAAAGTAGTTCTTTCCATCTGGTTCTGGATGAATCACAGTTATATTATTTAGCATACTATATGCTTGTGTGGATCTTGCTATGCACCATCAAGAGATGAAGTCTAATTCCCCTCCTCTTCTATCTGAGTGGGTTTGTCACTGATAACCCACAGGATGTACTGGAGATGATGTTGCATGCCTCCCAAGACTAGGCTTCTTATGACATGAAAGGAATCTCTTTTCCTTCCAAATCTAGGCCATGATGCAGAATGCACTTTCTTTATCTGAAATATCCACTTGAAATACTTTCAGCTTCCATGCAAGCAGGTTAATTGCCTTGAGGCTTCCTTTTTTTTTTGTATTAAATTCTTTTATTGGTACATTGTAGGTATACAACACAATTACATTTCTCATTGGGAATTGTACCTTTACATAATCCATCTTGGTTCTTATTTTTTCCCCATTCCTAGCCCTCCCTTCATGCCCTCCACCCTTCCCTATTTACAAATACTTTATTTCCATTTTTTCCATTTCTCACCATTTTTCCTTTCCCTTCTTTCCTTTCTCCTGCCCCTCCCACTACCCCTACCCCTTTGGACCTTTTCTTCCTATTTTACATTATCGATTATTCATTCTAATCATTGGTACATTTTAGGTCTACAATATAATGACATTCATCATTGGAAATTTGCACCTTTACATAGTCTCTCTTGGTTCTTATTTTTCACCCTTGCCCAGCCCTCCCTTCAACCCCTCCAGTCCTCCCTATTTACAAAGATTTTGTTCCTATTTTTCCATTTTCTCATATTAATCCCATTCCCTTCTATCCTTTCCCCTAGCCCTCTCACTTCCTTCCCCTTTGCCCCTTTTCTTCCTATTTCACATTACCTATTATACATTTAGTCCTGATTTACACTTTCAGTTTCTCACACCAGAGAAACTATTCAGTATTTACACATGTGTGTCCTATATGTAGCATGCGGAGAGACCACTTGTAGAAGCCAATGGCCACCCACAGAGTTGGATGAGGAAGAGTGCAGAGGGTCTGTCTGCACAGTGGGGACATAGGGATTTAGTTGAAGGTCTGGAGCTCACTGCAGTGTCTCGAGTGAGTCCATGTCAGGAGGCCAATGGGTCTGGGACGGAAGGCTGAAGCCATAGATTTATTTTTTAACTTACCTAGAAATCAAAAGTATTTTGAATGCATTGTTCTCATTTACTTTATTGCTAGTATACAACAAGTTTACCATAACAAAAACAAATCCTATTTTTTAGGATAGTGGGGAAAATTTGAGTGAATCATAGGTAAAAGATGGAATAAACTTACTTGAAAAGTTCAAAGAAAATGCTTGGCATATAACAACTGTTTTTGATAAAAGTTGGTTCTTACCCCCTCAACACACACTCACATGTATACATACACACTAATCCACACATGTACACGGTCACTCTTATCTCTACACCCTTACACTAATGAAATTGACTATATTTCTCTTCCTTTTTCTATGACTCTCAGTTCCCCCTCTCTTCTCCTTCTGTCCTGTTTGCTTTTATCCCTTGCTTTCTCTTTCCACTCTGCCCTTTCCTCCTTAGAACATCATTCTCATGATGTGATAGTTAACTGATTGTGTCAACTTGAGTAAGAAACAACCAACTAAATTGGATTCCCATAGTTCTGGATGTGGCTGAAGGGATTTACTAAGAAGACCCATGCTGGGTGTGAGTGGCACCAACCAGTGGAATAAAAGGGAAATGAAAAAGGAAGGCTTGTTCCTGTCTCTTCAGGAAAGCTCCAGTCTCCATCCTCACCATGGACACCCTCTCCTGGCTTCCAGTACAGACCCTTCGGCCTCCTGACAGGGACTCACACGGGACACTACAGGGAGCTCCAGGCCTTCAACCCTTGACTGGATCCTTCAGCTCTCCAGCACACAGGCAGCCCTTTTACCCTCTTCTACACCTGGCACTGCGCTGGCCACTGTGAGTCTTCCTTGGAAATCTTTATGTATGTATGTCTTGCGTTAAAACTGTTTCTCTAGCGAGCACTGCCTGATACCTATGGCGTGTGATGTAATCTTTTCCCTGTTGAATCATATGCAGACTCCTGGAGCTCTGTCCTCTCCCCATGCTGTTGTTTGGCCTTGAGTCTCAGTGGTTTCTGCACACCAGGCAATGCAACACAACACTATGGGAACCAAGACAGAGCCTCCTCTCCATGTCCTGGGTCTCTCTTGATTTCACCATGTATAGCACAAATACCACCTCCATTTTTCTGGACAAATCTTGTACTTCTGTACTTCAGACTTTTCTTTTCTTTTCTCTATAAATTTATTCCTGTTGG